GCCTCTGCCTCCTAAGTGCTGGGATTAAAGGCATGCGCTAGCATAAGACCTTACCTTTAAAACAAGAAATTTTTTTTTAAAAAAGTCATTTTCCCTGAGATGAGAAAAGAAACAGCAAACCGATGACCATGCTCACACCACTGAATCATTCCCCAGCCAGTGTGGTAAGAAAAAGAGGGCTGTAGCAGAAAAGAAAACCTACATGTGCTGACATGATCATAGGCATAAATAATCCAAAAGAATATACAAATGCTTGGAATTAGCAAGATCATAGAATGCAAAATCAATATACAAGGCAAAAACTATGTGTTTCTACATAATACAAAATGAAACTTCTAAAATACATAGTGTTATTGTAGCATAAGAAATTATGGTAGAGGCAAGGGAGGGGGCACGCTGGAGAGATATCTCTGTAGTGAAGAGCTCTTGCTGATCTTGCAGAGAACCTAGGTTCGGTACCCACATCAGGTGGCTCACAGCCATCTGTAACTCCAGTTCCAGAGCATCCGCACCCTCTCTGGCTTCTGCAGGCACCTACATGCATGTGGTGCACATGAACTCATGAAGGTGTACACACATACACATAAATATTTTTAAAAAGGGGTGGGGGTGGCTGGAGAGATGGCTCAAAAGTTAAGAGCACTCGCTACTCTTGCAGAGGACCTAGGTTCAGTTCCCAGCACCCACATGGTGGCTAACAATCATCCATAACTCCAGTTCCAGGGGATCTGATGCCCTCTTCTGTCCTCTAAGGGTATTGCACTACTTGGGTGCACTTCCATGTAGGCCTAACACTCATACACATAAAATGAAAATAATATTTAAAAATAATAAAATAAAATTAAAAAAAAAGAAATGGCCAGGAGTGGAGAGGTGGCTCAATGGTTGAAGAGTACTTGCTGCTCTTGCAGAGGACACCCACATGGTGGCTCACAAGAGTCTTCATTCCTAGGTATACTTAGCTTTCAATCTTTTGGTAGATAGGCCTCTCTTACAAATAGCACACACACACACACACACACACACACACACACACACACACACCCCTTCTGTTTCAGCGCTCTACTGAAGTTTTGTCTCGGTTTGGAATATCATACCGTATACTCTTTATTCACCATCTCTCATTTGATTCTGGGGTTTTTTATGCCTTCTCCCCCCTGCCCACCATTCAGTGAGTAAAAATAGCAGAAATGAGATTTATCATTTTGTTGGAATGGAAGAGTGATTATATATTCTCTGGTCTTCTGAAGTTATGCATACTGGCTTTGAATTCCACAGGTGGTCTCAGTGATTTTCGAATGAAATTGTGTGTGCGTGTGTGTGTGCGCGTGCGTGCACACACATGTGTTCATGTGTGTGAGTGTGAGCACAGGTTTGACGGTCAGAGACCAACCAACCTCTGGTGTCCATCCTCACTGTCCCCCTTAGGACAAGTTTCTTTGTTGCTCGCTGCTGAATACACCAGGCTAGTTGGCCTGTGGACTTCTGAGGACTCTCCTATCTCTACCTCCCCTCTCACCTCAGGTTCTCATACTTGGACAACAAACACTGTACTGAATAATAATCTCCCCATCCCTGTAATCTAATATCTTGAGTTGTCTTTTTGGCACCAGGAAGATACTTTATTTCAGAAATTTGAGTTGAGGTGGGTAGTTGAGTTGGCTGGGGAAGGGGACTCAAACTCTCCTGAGCAGCAGCAATGTGTAGGTGTGGTAGCCTTCACCCCAAATGTCAAGAGGAGAGCCTGGGCAAGCATGAGTGACTCAGTGAGCATACTATGTTTGGGTCTCCCTCTCCACCAGCTACTTTATCTCAATTTAGGGCCTCTCAGCCTTTCCTGGGCATGGTTCCCAGAAAGTCCCTCTGCTGCTGCTGTCCTGATCAGGTTTCTGAATCTGTTAATAATAGACAACAGTGGGGGAAGGGCCAGGATCTTTGCAGACATAGGAATTACCCAAGCAGATGAACAGTTCCTGCACCTAAGTCCGTGACTGCTGCCTCTCTGGATTTAATCAAAGTCCTGAATTCTCTCCAAGGGCAAGCCTTCTAAGTATTTTTTATTTTACATTTCTTTATTTTGTGTGTGAGTACATGAGTACATGGAGGTCAGAAGACAACTTGTCGGAGTCAGTTCTCATCTTCCACCAGGTGGATTCTGGGGATCAAACCAAAGTTGTCAGGCTTGGCAGCAAATGCCTTTACCTACTGAGCCATCTCGCTGGCCCCTTCAAAGCCAAACATTCAAATTACACTAACCTTGTGAACTCTCTCAAGTTTCTCCCCTACCCCCAAATCAGAACACATATGCTGAAGAGTAGGTGTGTTAATGAGAACACTAAAACAGAATATTTGAGACCTGCACTCTCCCAGAAAAATCCAGAAGTAGCAACATCCCTCTCTCCTACCTCACCCAGGAGGAAATGAGCTTGAGTAGCACTGAGCTGATGAAGAAGAGGCAAACAGTATATAATCCTGAAGTAAAAGGAGGAAGGATATACAAAAGGAAGGCTGTGAAAGTGAGGCTCAGTAAAAGGAGATGGTGATGTCAGGCAGGTAGAAGTGGGAAGACAAGACAAGTGTGAGAAAGGGTCTCTGTTAGTCAAATCTGAAATGGGTAGTTTATATTTTAATATCCCTATTCTTCCTATTCCTCATGAACAGCTTCCCTTTTAATGTCTTCCTTCCCTTAATGTCTACTCTGCTTCCCATCAAAGCCTGCTATTAAACCAGGCTGGCGGTGCATGTCCAGAATCCCAGGTCTTAGGAGGTGGAAGCAGGAGGATCAGGAGTCCAGTCTTCCCCAGCTACATATTAAATTCAAGGATATCTTTGACTACATGAGACTCTGTCTCAAAAATAAAATAAAAACAAAAAACTGCTCTCAGATGATCAATCCACTTTGCCATAAACTAGATAAAGCTACTGAGGCTTCAGAGACTGCAAGCAGGCATGGGGGCATGTGCTTATAGTCCCAGCTTCTTTGGAGGCTGAAGTGAGAGGATCACTTGAGACCACAAGTTCAAGACCAGCCTGAGCAACATAAGGAGACCCTCATCTCAAAAAAAGAAAGAGTAAACATTTTAATTCCTTTCATTGTGAAATAGCAGACAGGTAATATAAAACTAATAAAGAAAATGTATATCTTAATTATTATAAAGTGAAGACACCCCCCCCATTAGCACTCAGGACTAAAAATAGAACTTGCTCAGCTATTACTTCATTCTACAACTCCTTCCTAAAGTAATCATTATCCTGGTTTTTATGGTCATCACTTAGAAAGATTTTATTTTAATGGGACTCAAATTTTAGCTATAAATAACCACTAATGGTAGACTATTAGTCAGTTGAGGGGTGTTTGAGGGAAACATTTGAGGCAGCCAGATCACAGCACACTTAAAAATCATGCCAGTTCCCAAAGCTACTTCCCTCTGTGCCTGTGACTAAAATACACCTCAACAAAAACGAATCCCTCGGAAGTTCGATATATGTGCCCTCTGCTCTTAACTGCCTTAACTGTCGCCCACTGGTTCAGAGAAGCCATACTTCCCAGTCTTTCCAAAGCAAAGCAAAAGCAAATCTCAGCTGCCCACCATGTAGGGAGTGTGTGAGGCTGGTTGTCTCTGCTGCCAACACATAGTCTAGAGCACTGTATAAACGTCTCAGACCTTAGTTTCTATTTGTGAAGCATGGAGTCATAGTAATGCCCTCTGAAATTCCTTTTTCCTATCTTAATTTGGCTCCCTTTCCTCAGTCTTGGTTTCTGTGCCAGCCACCTATTCATTACCTTCCTTCTCTAGTGAGTGTTTTTCTGGTCTCTTCTCCTCTTTGCCCTGGATTCTATTTCTTTTTTCTTTTTTTAATGGGTATGAGTGTTTTGCCTGCATATATGTAAGTGCTTCATGTATGTGCAATGACTGAAGAGGCCAGAAGAGGACATCAGATTCCCTGGAACTGGAATTAGCCACCATATGGGTACTGGGAAACAAACATGGGTCCTCTGCCAAGAGCAGCCAGTTCTCTTAACTGCTAAGCCATCTCTCCAGCGCCTCCCCCCCACCTTTTTTTCTAAGCAAAGTAGAGTTTATTAAGACATTTTAACCACTTGGGAGGCAGAGGCAGGTGGATCTCTGTGAGTTCAAGGCCAGCCTGGTCTACATAGTGAGTTCCAGGTCAGCTGGGGCTACAGGGAGACCCTGCTTCAAAAAGCCAAAAAAAAAATAAGACATTTTAAGCATAGATTGTATGTACAAGAGTTAAGAGAAAGGCATTCAGGAAAAAAGACACACCAGAGAGCATAGGCATGGGCATCTCTAGAGTCCCTTTATCCCTACCCATATCTTTGTAAATGTGTGAACAGTAGCTCAGTAGGCATGAAGACCTGTTTCAACCCCATCACCACTTAAACGGCATGGTGGTACATATTTATAATCCCAGCACTCAGGAGGTAGAAGCAGGAGGATCAGAAGTTCAAGATCATCCCTAGCTACATATCGAGTTCAAGGTCAGTCTGGGCTACATGATATTCTGTCTCAAAAATTTTATATAAAATTTATATTGTGTATGTATGTGTGTGTGTGAACAACGAACCATTTCACACATATGCATAAATACTAATCTGTCTCTCCAAACTCTGATTATCTCTTCCTTTCTCCTCGCCTTGCTCCCTTCCCATCCTATTTCTTCAGAGCTAGATTGAGTGTTCTGCAAGGCAGGATGCAGAAACACAGGAGCAAGCTGATGGAAACAGACACCGTGGAAAGCAGCCAGATGAAATGAGGGCAAAAACAGTGGTATCCCATGCAGACACTGACCAGAATGAAAAGCAGTGATTCACAAAGCACTGCAATTCAGAAACGCCTTGGGTTTCACTTTAAGAGCTACTGCACTATTGGGGTCAGTGTGTGTGTAGTGGGGGCAGGGCATCAAGATAAAGGGCAGTAAGGCTTCTCCCTGGAGAGGGGTGTGTGTGTGTGTGTGTGTGTGTGTGTGTGTGTGTGTGTAGCTCAATCTGTTCCCTTAATCCTTTTCTGCCACCCCACCCCCACTACTCCCTCACATTGACCCGTGTCCCTGGGCCTTTAAGAATCGAAAGGGCTGGACTGAGGAAAGCGCTCACACCTCTCCCCACTCTACCCCTCTTTGCCAGTCTCAGCAGCAGCAGTCAGTGGTAGAAGAGGTGGAAACGAGTGCAAAGAAAAGGACCCAGGCCGGGTTTTCTCAGCCCACCACAGAGAGCATCTCAGAGCAGAGATCCGGAGGCATAGCTCATAAACAGGACTGCTATCCAACCTCGGTAAGGACCTGGAGCTCTGGCTAATCTCTGCTCAAGCTGAGTCCTGCCTGAGTCTCTAGCTCTACCCTCCAGATGCATACCCATCCTGATTAGATAGATTCTTCCCCACCCCCCAAGACTCTACTGGGCTCCCTCCTCCTGGTTCTCCAGTTTATCCTCTGACTCTTACAGTTTTCCTTCTGTCTGTGTCAATCACCCTTTTATAGAGGAACCTCTTGGCTGTCCAGGGCCAAGAGTGCTGACCCTAGCCACTTCTCAGAGGTGAGGCCATCATAATAAGAGAAGTGGGGTATTAATGTAGATAATCTTCACTGGAGGTACATTGACTGTTGAAGGTTACCAAATGAGGGTTGTCCAAGGTATCAGAAACTCCTGGTAACAAGGAAAGAGTTGAAAGATGTCCTTGGAAAGGGCCAGGGTTTGAGTTCTGTGCTTTGTTCTTTGCCTGCTTAATGAGCCAGCGTAATTTCTTGATACACCAGCATGCTGTGTGCTATGGGACTTTAAACCACAACTTCCTGGTGTGTAATGGGAGAATTCATGGTTTCCCAGAGTTGCCTTTGTACTAGGTATGCTTATTAGAATGGTTTCTAGATAGTCTCAAACCTCGTCCTTGGAAATTTTGATCTGGTAGACTTTAAGACACCCTCTGGAGATGCTGACTTAATCTTGAGTCTCTGGATTATAAGTGCTGTAAGAGAACCTTCAAGCTATAGCATTCTGAGGACTAGAACTGTGCCCAGAGACTTCCTATCCTATATGAGACAGGTTAGCCATAACCCTTCTCAGAAGCAAGGAAATAGACAAAATATTCCTACCTGCCCCTCAGAGAGAAATTTGAGAGACCCTGAATTCCACTTCTGTAATATCATTGGCACTTCTGTTGACCCTTCTAAAGGTCTATCTGTTGGTGATATGAAGCAACTTGGAAGATGAGGACCAAATCTTTTTTCACTCTGCCTTACTGGTCCACTTTTCAAACCTTACATTCTGTATTTATTGTCCCATCTATATCACTGAGGTACTTTTCTGTATCCTCAAAGGTATCTCTCCCCCCCCTCTATATATGCATATATATATGAGTTAATATTTGAACCCAGGCTTCCCTCAAACTTGCTTTGTAGCCAAGGATGGCCTTGGATTCTTGATCCTTCTACTTCACTTCCCAAGTGCTAGGATACAGGCATATTACCACCATGCCTGACTGACCCAATCTCTCTTACTTTTAGCTTTTATCTCTGTGTCCTTCCCAGTGCCCCCTCTCCCAAACCCTTTGTTTATTCTCTCCCCACTGTACCTGCATCAGTTGTAACCATTCCTCCTTTCAGACACCAGAGGAAACACGAACACCTAGAACACTTGGGTTCTAACTCACATTCTCTGGGCACTTTGTTTAGTCAGTCTCCTAGGATACAGGAAGAAGTGAAGCTGAGAAGAAAGACATGCTCTTGAATGTCCAAACCCAAGTGTGCTCTCCCCTGGACTGTAGACTCAAAATCCTTAAAAGAGTTGAGAATCAGAGCTATTGGGACTTAGTGGAGACAAATGAGGGAAATGGCAGGAAAAGGTGATAGAGGGAAAGGATGAGGAGAAGGATGAGAAGAAGAGAGCATGAAAAGCCTGACAAGTGAGCTCAGAGGAAAGCCAGGATTGTGAGGGAGAGGAGTGAGAGGGAAGAAAGGAGAAGAAAGAGGTCAGGCATGGGATGGGGAAAGGCAAGACAGTAGGAAGAAAGAGAAGCTGTCTGGTATAATATAGTGAAGAGAGAAGGCAGTGTACCTTGCTAAGTCCCTGTCTTCCTTCAACCTGCCTTCTGGAGAAGGCCCTTTCTAAGGGAAGAGTTGGTGATCTCTGCACTGGTTGTATATAGACCTGGGTTCTAGTTCCAGGTCTGTCACTCATTAAATGACTGGAAGGACAGCTAATCTCTTAGTTTTCAATCAACTTCTCTATGATGTTCAATTCTCTTACTCTGTGGTTCCCTGAGGTACAGCAGGCACACACCTGGATACAGGTTTAAAATAGGCATTCATAATCAGGATTAGATAAAAACAAACAAGCCCCAGGGTTGGAAGAGCTTGGCAAAGAAGGGAAAATGGTTTTCTAGAGTTGGTCTGAGAAATTCTTCTGGTTTTAGACACTCAAAAGGGATGTCCAGGTACCTGGGCTTCCCAGGACACATAAAGCTCCTGGACATGGGAATAGAGAAGGTAATTCTGCCTTCTTCTAAGCCAAGGCTTACCTCAGAGTCCTATGCCCCCAAGGTGCAAGTTGAAATTTAGAGGCTCGAAGACAAGATGTTGGCACGAGAGCTAGACTTCACCACAGGCCAACCTTGCCCACTACAGTCTGAGCACCCAAGAAATTTAAGAGTAACTCATCACTTTCCAATCTTCATATAGCTTCTGTAAGTCTTAAATTCCAAACAGAAAAGGATGCTTTTCTGTCTCTCAGGAAGCACTTTTCTGTCTCCCTTCTTCCTTTCAGAGATTTCTTCTGGTTTCTACCAGGAGCACATATTCAGCCCCAGCAAGTAAAACCTTTTCTTCCTGAAATTGTCACAGCTAGTTCCCTCCCAAGGAAAGTCAAAGAAGTTGTATTTTCAGTAACTCCTGCTTCTCCCTTAAGAGTTAATCACCCCTAGCTGGGCGTGTTGGTGCATGCCTTTAATCCCAGCACTCGGGAGGCGGAGGCAGGCAGATCTCTGTGAGTTCAAGGCCAGCCTGGTCTACATAGTGAGTTCCAGGCCAGCTGGGGCTACAGGGAGACCCTGTCTCAAAAAGACCAAAAAAA